GAAAAAAAAAAAAAAAAAAAAAAAAAGAGAGAAGAAAGAAAAAAAAAAAAAAAAAGAAAAAAGAAGAGAAGAAAAAAAAAAAAGAAAAAAAGAAAAAAAAAAAAAGAGAGAAAAAAAAAAACCCAAAAAACAAATGGTTCGTCCTTGATGAAAATGGAGAGGCCTGCAAAGCTTCTCCACGAAAGGTACTCGTGTCCACGGTCGTCGACGATGGGCTCGTCGTCGTGGCTGCGCACTACGGGCGGCGTGGTGCCGGGGACGACGAGCGGGTTGTGGCCGAGGAAAACGGGAAGGTCGTCCACCGATCCGTCAGCCTTGAACCCATAGTTGATGTCCAAGTGGTGGCCAGAGAAGCGGAAGCCGAACGGGCCTTCGCCTACGAGATCTCCGTATACCGAGGCGAAGTCGAAGAAGTTGTTGCGAGCATGGATGTGCGGCTCTTTGAAAATGTTTCCGAGGCCGTATCGCCCCGTCTCCGTGTCGATGTTTGCCTTGTGCAACAAGCGCGGCTTCTCGTAGCAGCGCCAGAACGTGTAGTTAGGCGGCTCCGCAGCGCGGAGGTCGCCGCATTCGGTACGGTTGGCAGGAATCTTGTAGCCGCGGTCGGTGAGGTTCACAAGCCCCCGCTCAAGCTGTCCGCTCGCGTCCCTGAGCTCGTAGCAGTCACCCGGGCAGGAGTTCGCCCAGTCCTGCAGCTCGCCGAGCAGCAGGTTCGAGTGCATCTGCTTCAGCAGCAGGTTGTGAGCATCGTCCGACATTGCGAGATGGAGGGCAGTGTGGAGCGCTCGGACGGCTTTGGGAGGCATGTCCCCGATGCGACCCATGATGGGCGGGTCGAGGCACTGCTGCACGATGGTGCAGATGTGCCACTGCGGAAGCTGGAGGGAAGCGTTCGCAAAGTAGGTCTTGTTCAGCACATCCGGAACGTTTGCGAGTTCCTTTGTGAAGGTGCGGAGCGCTCCGCGGATGGCGGTCTTGTTGAGCTCGGGCGTCGGTGGCGATGGGCAATCCGGCGGTGGTGGTGATGGTGGCGGCGGCGGCGACGGCAGCGGCGAGGTTTGCGGCGGAGGCGGCGACTGGAACGGGTGGCAGGCGCCACACTCTTCCGGAAACTCCTCCGCAACCTTTTCGCAAGCCTCCACCTCTGTCCGGCCGGTGTTGCTCTTCACCCAGTTCATGCGAGACTCGCACGATGAGAAGCCCTTGTAGTTGGCGGTCAGATCTCGGGCGAGCGTTTCGAGGACGGCGTCGGTGCAGCTGTCCACGCCACACCGAGCAGCCAGGACGTAGGGCAGTGAGACGAGAAGCACGACGCTTGCCATGGCTGTCGGCAGCACGGCGACAGGTGGTGGTGAGACTCACCAAAAGCCGCAGCAATCAAGTTGCCCCGCAACCGAGCCCCATCGAGGTGCACGTGCCTTTTCTTTTTTCGAAAACGCGCGCGAAACAGTCGCCGGCAAAACTGTCAGGGCCGCCGCGACGCGTCGCCGCAATGGCGGGCAGCGACGTGGTGAAGCCATGCGGCTCTCCCTCAATTAAGCCATTTCATATATGCAGCACCTTGCCGACACGACTGGGCGCGTGGGCGGCGCAAGCCGGCGAGAAGTTTCTCGCCCTGGAACGCTACTTACTTACGGCTGTCTGTACAGATATGCCAGCAGCCAGCACCCCCAGCAGCAGAGAGCTCTGCTGGGGGGGGGGGGGGGCGAAACCCCAGCGACACGTAGGACGCTTTCCAAATGGAGAGGCCGCGGCCGCCAAAACCAACCGCGCCCTTGAAAACCGGCTTCGTCGGGTCCGAGTAGTCGACGCCGCTCGACCCGACGGGGATGCTCATCTTGGGGTCCCCAAAGTTGGCGTACGCGTCCAAACCGACGTCCGCCAAAAAGCCGTCTGCTGCTTTTGTGCATTGGCAATTGGGGGGGGGGGGGGGGGGGTCCCCCCCCCCCGGGAGGGGGGGCCCCCCCCCGGGGGGGGGGGGCCGATTTAAAATTTCCCCCTTGGTCCCCAACCCCCCCCAAATTGGGGGGGGGGGGGAACCCCATGGCCCCCAAAACCCTCTCCCCTTGGGGGAGGTTGACCCGTTTTAAATTTAAATTTTATTTTTTTTTTTATCGGGCAAGATTTTTTTTCCCCCCCCCCCCCTTGCCCCCATACCCCCGTTTTTTTATTAATGGGGGAAGGGACCCGGCCCCTCCCGTCAGGGCTGAAATTTAAAAACCCGGGACTTTTTCGAAAAACCCCCCATTCGGAAAAACCCCTTTAAAAAGCCTCCTTTTCCCCCGGAAACCGGGGGGCCCCCGCCCATTCCCTTCAGGGGGGCCCCCCCCAAGGAAAAATCCCCCTCGGGGGGGGGGGCGCCCCTTTTGGGGGGGA